TTACTGATCTCATCACCCTAAACAACGTATAGTACTCAATACTAGTCAAATAGGCAAGTTGGCAATTGCTCTTCTGAACAAATTATTGTAAATGTCACTGCTACAGTGCGGCTCATAGTGGCTCACTTGGCTGTTCAAGGGAAAAATTCTTGCAAATGCAGCTCTTATTATTTGCCAAATGTTCATGCACAAATGCATTTATTTTACCAAGAGCGTAGTGTTGGGTCATTTAAGGAGAATGGGAAAACACCACTCACAATTGAAGAGGCAAAATAGCATACATACAGCACTCCAGATCTTGCAAACCCCTTCATATACACTATACCAATGGTACCTCACACTGACTGCGGAGAGGCTGAGATGACGAGAAAGGGCAGGTATATTTATGATTATTTTTACAAGTAAGGTTAACTTAGACAAAGTAACTCTCTCCAGGTCACAACTCAAGGAAGTAATACATTTCTGTGATGAAAATATAAGTCTTGGGGCTTCTGATTTTATCATGTGTCTATCAAAATCCCCCACCTGCCAACGTTAAGCCATACAATGTAGAACATAAAAACCATATGAAACAGAGGAGAGGGGTGAGATCAAAACTCATTTGAACTTACATAATCATATTTTATCAATTCATTATTAGTCCACTATTATCATTGTGGTCGTCATTAATAGACAAGACGTGTTGAGCAACTACTACCTGCCAGACCAAATAGGAAGGACTTCATCTGTGCTGTTTCACTGAACCTTTACTTTCAACAAAGGTGCTCTTAAAAATCAGAATGATGAAAGTACAGATGAGAAAATGGAAGCCGAGAAGGCTTGAGTTGCCTAAACCTGCTCCTAAATCCTAGCCTTTTTCCAAGGCCACTCTACTAGACTTGCTTCTGTGGGATCAATTGTATTCATAGTCAAATACCAATAAGGCCAAGACAATGAGTACTTTTGAGTTCTTCTGGGTTTTGGGGAAAATTTAAACAATGTCTCCCAATCTCCTGAATGCATTTAATGTATTCCGCCGATTCGATAAGCGAACAGGCATGAACGCTTATCTGAGATGATACCACTCTAGTTTCACTCTAACAGTACATTTTTGTGTAGAATATTTCTATCTCAAATGCTGATCCTCATTCTGTTACTTACTGGCTGTATATCGTTGGACAAGTGGCTTAGCAGCTCAGACACTCAATTTAGTAGTCTGCGAAGTAGGGTTGACGATAGTTCCAATAGTAAAATAAAAGTGGAACCATCTGCAGAAAGCACTTGACATGGTTTCTAGAACATGGTTAGTAAGCCACACATATTAACTATGATTATTTTTTATTTAGATGATCCTTGTGACCACAGAATAGAGGTTAGCTACATTCTACAGAGAGGAAACTGGTTCTCAGATATAAAGTGTTTTGTGTAAATTCACCCAGCTTGATAGAATAAATATAAGGAAGCACGTCTCCTAAATGTGACAGAGAAAATTTTTGTTAGTAAAATCTCCAGCAACTCTCTGAGGAGGTGGGTCTTGGTAGCTGAAGAATTCTGAAAGTAGAAGTGGACAGAAGCTAAAATGCTCATCGGGAAAAGATAAGAAATCAAGAAACCTGAAAATGATTCAATAGTGAGCAAAGAGAAAAACAGGGGAGAGGGAGAATATGTTCAAAGGGATTTGAGAAATCTGCTCCCACACACAATGTAAATTACTATGAAAATACTGTGTTAGAAAAAATATACAAGGCCCTTTTCTATACTATTTTAAAGTATATACACCGTCTCAATATTGGCTGTCTTGTAAAATACAAAAATTCTATTTTTATGCAGTTACAGAAAATATAAATACTCTAATTTAACCTTAAAAAATTACTCTGAAGACACTCTGATAGAAAAAATATACAATGCAATTTTCTACTATGTTTTAAAGTATACGCACCAACTCAATATTCTCTATCTTGTAAAATATAAAAATTCTAATTTTATGCAGTTACAGAATATATACATACTCATTTTAACACAAATGTTAAACACAAAATTACTAAAAATATAAATATTCTCTTTTTACCCCAACGTTAAAAACAAAATTGTTCTGACAATACTCTGTTAGAAAAAATATACAATGCCCTTTTCTATTCTGTTTTAAGGTATATACACCATCTCCATATTCCCTCTTGTAAAACATGGAAATTCTATTATTACGTGGATAGAGAAAATGTAAGTATTTCCTTTGACTTCAATGTTAAAAACCAAATTACTCTAAAGACACTCTGTTAGAAAAAATACACAATGCTTTTTTTACTATCTTTCTTAGTATATACACAATCTCAATATTCTCTCACATGTAAAATACAAAAATTCTAAATTTACGTGGTTAGACACAAATATAAATATTCTCTATGCACCCTAATGTAAAAAACAAAATTGCGTGGAAGATACTCTGTTAGAAAAAAAATACAATGCTCTTTTCTACTCTCTTATGGTGTATAAATACCATCTCAATATTCTCTCTCATGTAAAATACTGAAAATCTAAATTTATGCTGTTAGAAATAAATATAAATATCCTCTATGTCCCCGAATGATATAAGCAAAATTGCTCGAAAAATAATCTGTTAGAAAAAATATACAATGCCCTCTCCTACATTCTTTTGGAGTATATACACTATCTCAATATTCTTTGTCATGTAAATACCAAAACTCTAAATTTACGTGAATAGAAAAACATATAAATATTATATATTTACCCAAATGCTGAAAGCAAAATTGCTGTAATAATAATCTGTATGAAAAAATATACAATGCCCTTTTCTACACTCTTTTGGAGTATATACACCAAATCAATACGCTCTCTCATGTAAAATATTAATATTCTAAATTTACCGGATAAAAAAATATATAAATATTATCTATGTACCACAATGTTAAAAGCAAAATTGCTCTAAAGAAAATCTGTTCCAAAAAATATACAATGCCCTTTTCTACTCTGTTTTGGAGTATATACACCATATCAATAAGCTCAATCATGTAAAATATATAAATTCTCAATTTACGTGGTTACAAAAAACATAAATATTTTCTATGTACACCA